GAAAAATGAAAGAGAAGAAATAAAATGAAGGCAAAGGAAAAGAAAGCATAGTAGATTGCAGAAAAAACCCAGAGAATATCGTGCAGCCTTTTTTGCACGTGATTTGCCTTTGCCTTTCCTTTTTCCACCCTTTCTCTTTGCAGTACTGGGACTGAACTCAGGGCTTTTGCACCACCACAGCCACCCCTCTTTTTAAAATTTTTAAAATTGTTTTTAAGACAGGGTCTCACTATGTCAGTCAGTTGCCTAGGCTGAGCTCAAACTTTTGACCCTTCTGCCTCAGCTTCCTAGAGTACTAGGATTATAGGCATGCAGCACCATACCTGCCTTTCTGTCTCCTCTATATAGATTTGTGACTGGTCGTGGTAAAAATGGGGCCCTTCCCCAAATGTGTATTCATAGAAAAAAGTCCAGATGGGGCCAGGGATTTGGCTCAGTGGCACTGGGCCTGCCTTGCAAGCACAAGGGCCTGAGTTCAATTCCTGGTACCAAAAAAAAAAATCCAGACGAATACACATCAACTTGTTAACAGTGATTACCTGAGGGACGGCTAGGGCCGGGATTACCAATTGGAGAATAGGTGGTGGCCTCCAATAGTTCACACTTTTATTTAGATTTCATGGTGAAAATGCATCCTTCTGCTTAAACCCAACTTCCTGAGTGCCATTCCCAAGAGAGGCTGGGGAAGTCTTGTCCTTTGAGTCCCTGCATAGCTCCAAAGTCAACTCTGACTAAAGCAGGAAGTATCATAAGAAGGCTATAATCCATAATGAGAGGAGTATGAGGCCACCCTGATGCTCCCCCCTATAGCCTTCCCTTTCTCTCCTTCCCTCAACCCTTGCAACTGTCCTAGGCAGGCTACTGTTCCACCAACAGATATGTGATTATGATGAAACATTATCACTACTTGCAATCTTCCATAATAATTTCAAGCTAAAGGACTGAACCAGCTTGAAATGGAAGCTAGCCAGAATGGGCCTGACACTGACTCCCTTGGAATATTTTGGTTTTATTCTACACTAAGCCTTATCTGTTTCTGTTCTTCTCTGCCCCTGACAGACTGCTAAAGAGGGGCAGCATGCATTTGCTGAGCTCTTGCCTATAACATTCTGTAGATCCTGAAATTTTCAGTTTCATTGTGAGAGGGGTTCAGGATGAACAATCACATTGGAAGGGGGTGGGACTTAAAGTAACGTGTAGGAATTAGGATTGAAAAATGTCATTAGACAAGTCAAAAACAGGAAGGGCAAGAAGGTCACATACAACTAAAGCCTCCCTCTTCTTGCCCTGCCTCCTTTTTGATACCACATAAGATCCAGGAGACAAGGCACAAACAGAAGAGAAATTTACTTGATGCTTATAATTGCCTTGCATATGGTATTACTTTTCCTCACAAACATGGAGTATTTTACACATTTTCTCTAAGAGTACCCCTAGATTGCTCAGTACCATAGCCACGATTATCTCTAATGGCTATATAGGAAACATGACGTTCTGCCAGCAAATTGGCTAAGAGGGTACCCTAGAAACTATCTGCCTGAACATAATAATCATTCAAAGCTGGACCCTAACTTTAGAGGGGTCCAACCAGCTCCTAAGGCAGGTCTTTGTTATACACATAGATTATGTTTATGCAGGACTCCTAGTTCCTGGAAAAACCATTCATTTTGCTTAAAATATGTAAGTAAATAAGAGCATTTCCTCATCCAAAAATTGGACAAATTAGAGGGCAGGATTGGAAATATTCTTCTCAAGCCACAGAGCTAAGAAATGAACCTGAAATCAAATCAAAGAGGCAATTTTCCTGATTCATATGGCAAAACTGAGAAGCAGGGTCAGGAAGGGAGCATAAAGGCACTTGGGTGTAGAAGACAAGCCCGCATTGTGCAGGTAGGTCCCTGCAGACCACGGGACCTGCTTTGCCCAGCAGGAAGTGCTACACTAGTTCAGCTGGTTTTACAATTTGTTCATATATAACTGTTCTCTTCTACAGATACATAAACACTTTTGCCTCTATGTTATAGATGGTTTTTAAGAATCTTGCATTATTGGTAATCCCAATAAGTATACAAAAAAATCTAAACATCTAGATCAGTTATGATGATGATGATGATGCATTTACAAAACAAAATTTTCCTTAGGATTTACTTTATGTAGCATAATTCCTTAGAGCATTAAAAAAATCAATACATATATTACAGGAATCTAAATTTTATCACAAACTACAACTTTAGTAAAACTTATGTGTTATAAATGTAAAATACCATAAGTAGAAGTAAAATTGATTTTTAGTATATATGTGTATCAGAATCTTTAATTTCTATTATAAGCAAAAATTTTAATGATTTAAAAATCAAGGTAAAAGACCTACAAAAGAATAACAAATCACCACTAATAAAAATATTTTAATAGTCAAGAATTTAATTTTGGACAGAAACTGGAGGTATTAGGAAGTTATCCTTCATCTCTTGAACTCTGGTTTGAAAATCTATTTTGCTTTTTATTTAAAAATCCCTAGTATAAAATCTGAATAATACTGAGGGTTCAAATCAAGTGCCACAATTTAATCAAACTTCATTTCACAGTTGGGAGCACGACAGAAAAGGAGCACAGCGACCATGATTTGATAGTGGTTACTTATCTAGACAAAAGCATTCTAAAGCTCAGAAGCCCTAGGATCATGGAATGTTAAAATCACAAGAAAGTTTAGATGCCAGTGGTCTAGTCCTTTATCCTGTTGGTCAGGATGCATATGTCCCATAAACTGATCATACTGGAGGACACATGCTGGCTGCTTTTAATCCTTCTAATGTCAGAAGGCTGTGGTATGACAGAAGCCAAATGCAAGGTCAGTGGATGAGCTATCCCCTGAGCAAGTCACATTTGCTTCATTTTTAGCTCATCCCAGATAGCCACACTCTGTGCTGAGCTTATTTAGAACACGCTGGTGTCACCACGGCCCTCATAGTGTTTCCTTTCCTTCTAGTTGTGTGGAAATAAACTGTGCATTTTTTTTCCAGGGGCTGACTGAGCTCAACCACATGAATCTGTGTTTTGTTTCATATGTGTTTAAAACTGAGCTTCCTACCTTGTGACATTTCACCGCGGACTTCTAATTTTTTTTTTCTGTATACCTCCTGAGACTCAGTGCCCAGCAAACTCTCAGGCCCCCTTGCTACTTTTAGATTCCTGGCTCCAGATATAGAAGATTGACCATATTCAGAAGCCTCTTCCTGGAACTGACCTGAGTTTATAAAAGGTGAGGCTTTAAGAAACCTGTATGAATACATTTCTCTCACTCTCTCTCTCTCCTCTCTCAGAAAGGGTATTACTGTGTAGTTCAGAGTAGTTCAGAATGGCCTTGAACTCACTATGTAGCCCAGGATAGCCTCAAATTCACAGAGATCCTTCTGCCTCAGATTCCCAAGTGCTGGAACTACAGGCATGCACCAGCACACCTGGCTCCATCTCATTTTTGTACAACTTATTTATCACAGGAAAAGCATCATATTTATCTTTCAAGGTGATTCAAAAGCTTCCAGAACTAGATTTGCAAAATTTATAGCACGTCCTCCAATGAAATGCCAAAAAATATCCTCTTTAAAAGTTTAAGCAGGTTTATGTAGTCACTGATAAGAATCAGTTTGAGGTGGGCGTGGTGGTGCACACCTGTGAGCCCGGTAGGGTGGCTGAGGCAGGAAGATGGCTGTGAGTTCCAGGCATAGTGAGTTCAAGGCCAGCCTGAACTGCAGCAAGACCCTGTGTCAAAAAACAAAACAAACAAAAATAAATAAAAGAATGAGCTTGAGCTAAATATTCTAAGATTTGATGTTTATAAGCAGAAAAAGCAAGTCTTAAGAGTTAAGTAATTCCATTTAAAATATACATATGTGCTTGTAAAAAGGCGAAAGTCTGGAATGATGCACACAGTGACTAAGGGTAGCGTGACTGGTGTGTACAGTGGATGAAGAAGCAGCTTGTACTTTTCCTTCATTTCTGGATTTAGTTTTTTTTTTTCTTAAATTCTTAAAAATAAATTAGAAGACATCAGACACATTTAAAGAACTCGTATCGATCTGACAGTTAAACTCCAGAAACTACTAAATTCTCATTCTGACTGGTTCCACAGGGAGTTCAATTCCTGCACTAGCCATTCCTTGGGTATCAGGTTCTGTATTGGGCAAGGCCACGAAGATGGGTAATACTTCACCCATGACAGGATGGAAGCTACCCCAGAACACAGGTTAAGAGGAACAGTGAAGGTGTAAAAGGGGCACTGCTACCCATGAGGAAATTAGCAGTTTCTCACCTGATTCCTAACAGCCTTCTGTAGGCTTCCGCTCTTGGCAAGACAGTTGGCAAATGTCTTCCTTTTAAACGTTACTACTGCCAAGAAGGAGGGTCCCTGGGGAAAGAGAAGCCCCCTGAACACGCCCACTGGGGTACCCTGAAAAGCCTCGCAGCGGCACATACATCCTGTCTTCTCTGGTCTCTGCTGAGTAATGTGAATCCTAGGGCAGCAAAGGGGCTAGCTAGTGACTTTGAATCAAGTTTTACCTGTTAACTGAATCCAGGGAAATCATTTGCAAGAGTGGTACACGATGCAAAGTGCTATGTTGAACACTTGACTGTGCTTTTTCTTTTTTCTTTTCCGCCCAACTTCACGTTTCCATGCACCAAATGTTGATGCTATAAATACTGGATGCCACGCTTACCTGACAGATTTCTTCCATCCTAGCCGAGCGCGGGGACTCAGAGCGAGCGCGGGAGCCACGGCTGAAGTCTGCCTCTTGCAGCCGAAGC